TGTAGATTAGACACAGCCTTAGTGGTGGATCTGTGGAGCACTCAAGGATTATCAAGTGTCTGCTTCTTGACACTAAGTATACAAGCTCTTGGGTGACTGCAGAAGCAGCTGTTAAGGAGGCAGCATCTTCCACTAGGGGCACTGCAAGATAAAAAGAGCATGGAGGAGAGGAACCTTAGCTGTCAACTGGAAGTTGAGCCAAATGATTCCAGCAGGACCAGAGTCAGAATCTTTCCCAATGGCATATTCTGCAGCCACCAGGGCAAAGGAAACTAAACCACTAGATTATAGGTATATTGGAAAAAGGAAACTAGTTGAACTTCAGTCTTCCTCAATTAACATATATGTGTTTACCAAGTCATAATTGCCACAGGGGTAATGTGGTCTCAGACAGATTAGTAATTGGTAGGTTGGGGAGGGAGCTGCTCTTGGATTGTGAAAAGTTACAGAATTTCTAACCACAGGTATTCAAACTCAAATAAGTCTTAAAAAAAAATCTCAGGACTTTTAAAAATATATTTTGCATTTTATTTGCCTTCCAGTTTTTGAACTTATAGGATTTGTTTAAGCTTTTCTCTATTGCCAGAAAAAGTTCTCTAGAAAATTATTTTCAAAAAAAATGTGAAAGTATCCCCTAATAACATGACTCCAGAAGCTGAGGCTTTAAGAAACCCACCAAATATCACAAGATATAATTGTGTTATGAAAGCTGGAAATGTAGAGTTAGATGATCCCTGTATTAAACAAATAACGTTTACAAACCTTTAGAGTCTCCCTTTTGCAGCTTTGTCTCCATCTTCTTTAGCTATGTAAGGCTAAGACAAGACTTACATTCTTTTATTGAAAAAAGCTACGCAAATTGCACTCCGCAATTTGCGTAGCTTTTTCTGATCGCTTTTCCAGAAGAGCACTTTTCTGCCATTTGGCCTAATCTAGATGGGGCCTAATGGTGGAAAAGCTTCCTCTTTCGGCAGAGTCCTTATTCCTCATGGAATGAGGTTCACAGAGCTCCCCGAAAGAGCGTGTTTGCGCTTCTGCGAAAAAAAAAAGCCGAAGAGCAAATGTGTTCCCTGGAGGTGGAGGGGTTTTCCGGGATACCAGAGGTAACCCGGGAAAACCTTGTCTAGACATAGCCTCACTTTGGCTCCATGCCATGTTTGTCCACCACATACTGTGGCTGCCTTAGTCTCATGGCTCTCAGAGACAGTCATCACCATTATTATTTCAGCAGCACCCCAGGCTGTACGAGATGCCGGGTCGTTACTTAAAGCGTCGCAGCAGCAGGACTGCTAAAAGCGAACGAGAGGGAAGAAATGCAAAAGGCCTTTCTCTCCTTGCTTTCTGTGTACAGTTCAGGGCTTCCCGTGTGGCAGTTTCACGCCTGCCTTGGGAGTCCGTTTCACTTCTTGCCGCCTGGGCTGCTTGAGTGCTTGCTTGGACGTTCACGGTCCTCTTCCGTGACATCCCTTCATGGTCATCCTTCTTGTGAGGGGGAGTGCGCCAGGTGTCATTTAAAATCAACCAGATGAAATATCTCAAGTAGCAATGTTGGCACAGGCTGTAAGGCCAGAAGGGATCGGCAAGCCCGACTTGCTGTGGCCACAGAACCTCACCCAGGGATTGCACAATAGACACCACACTTGCATTTGATTTCCTCTGGCTAAAGGCAAGGAAATTCCTTGGCTTAGAGATGGAAGGAATCCACAACCTGCGCCCTTGGGGGAAACAGAATGTTAATTGGGGATCAGAAGGAAGGAGGTGGAAGAAACCTGCCTCTGCAGACATACACAAGTTATTTCCGGGGCCATCCTTAGCCATAAGCAGAGAAGGCAGTTGCCTAGACCAGTGTTTCTCAACCTTTTTTTGCTCATGGGCCCCTTCTGAGCCTCGTTTACCTCTGTGGCCCCCCTCATAGCCGCTGTTAGTTGGAAAAAAAGGTACATCATTTACCTAATGTTCCGGTTTTTCCATGTGGCCCCCTAGAGGTAGGGCGTGCCCCCTGGGGAGCCATATGGCCCACGGTATCAAATGCTTTACTGAAGTCCAAGTATACCACATCTATAGCTTCCCTCTTAGCCACAAGGCTTGCTAGACTATCAAAGGCTAGACAGAGCCAAATGTGTTGCCTGCAGCGCAGTCTGAGGGAGGGGATTGGCTGCTGGGGTCTCTGGGAAGGGGAGGGCGTAGGGGTGGAAGAGCAAGTCAGGCATAGGGGCGTCAGTTTAATAATCCTGCCTAGGGCAACATAAATCCTAAGGATGGCCCTGGTTATTACCATAGAAATTTACATGGGTGCTTATTTATGTGGGGAGCTGGGGCTAGAATTTGCATCCTTCTGCCCCAAAACACAGGTCTCTACCATGGCAGGGGGAAGCCTGGATTTGGCAGCAGTTACAAGCCCCTTATTTTCTCTGGGCACCCTGGCACTGTGGGCACGTGTTCCTGGGCTTGACCGAGGGCTTGGGCGGGAGATCTCTGCGGCAAACGGAGGGCTGGCAGTCCCCATGCCCATCTCCCCACCCTCACTGAGGATACAGTAATTCCTCATTTAACACTATAGATGTGTTTCTGAAAAAGTTTGTGCTAAGCGAAGACGTGCTATGCGGGGTCAATTTTCCCATTAAAAATGATGGAAAAGGTGGAGGTTGTGGTTCAGGTGGTAGTGGTGGCAAAATCAATTTTTTGTTGGTGCTGGGTCATCAACATCAACATTAGATATCTAGCAACGCAAGTCACCGCGGTTTGTTAAAACACAAAGACAAACATGTGAGTGAGTGGAGGAGTGCTGAGACCATGAATATTCATCCATTCATGCATATTACCACTGTTTTCACCAACTTATACCGCCACGCGAAGTAGTCCACCACTTGATTATTTTCATGTTATTTTGGGGACAGTCGTGTTATTCAAAAAACATTCCCTAAAAGAAAATCATGCTATTGCGAAAACGTGTTAAGCGGGCACGTGTTAAATGAGTAATTTAACCTGTATCCCTGGCAGGTTTCAGTCTAATCTGCTCTTAAGAGCCTGCAAGGGCAGGGATGCTGCAGTCTCTTCTGGTGACCTGTTCCAGAGCTGAAGTAGCCTCAGAATTTTTCCTAGTATCTAACCTGAATCGCCTGTGCTGCAAAATAAGCCAAGGGCTTCCCATCAGAAAAGCCTCTGGTGAACTGATGGAAGGGAGCTGTGTGTAGTGGGAGAAGGGACCATGTGTCTGAGGTCTCATGGTGGTGGGCGGCAGCTAGAGGGATCTTGTGGGGCCAGAACCGTAGCAGCTGAGGGGTAAGGGATGCAGGGAGATAGGCAGCCTCAGAAGATAATGGCTCAGGGATAGAAGGGAGGGCTTTTATAGCCCTGCCCTCTTTCCCAGCATTCCTTGCTGCCTAGCCTATAACTTCCATTGGTCCTGGGAACTACACCTCCCAGAATCCTCTGGGAACTGGCTAGCCTCCCTTAAAGGGACAGGTAATGTCTCCTCCCCCATCTCCCTGCCAGTCACTAGTCTTCATTCTGCTCCCTGCCTGATTTAATATGTGTGTTGTGTGCACGTGTATGTGTGCGCGCACGTGGTGGGAAAACTCCCTATTGGTCCCCTAGAGAGTGATGTCGTCACACCCAGTCAGCCAATCAGAATGAGACTTTGGACCACGTGTGTTCTCTGGCAGGACAGGGAGGTGATGTGGTGTGTTGTCCCCCCATGCAGGATGGAGTGATGTCTTGTCCCTGACCTCGGTGCTAGCTGTGCTCTGGTCCCTGGCCTGGGGGCGGCCGGGCCACACGTGCAGTGACGAGTGGCCCAATGCCCAGAACATCGCAGGGCGCCTGATGAACTACTTGGAGAACCTGCATAAGCTGTTCCTGGTATGAGAGGGGCTCCCCCAGGGACCCAGTCTTGCATGGACACCTCCCCCCCCACTCTGACCAACTTCCCCCATGTGCCATTCCTGGCTTGACCATCTGCTTCCATCCACCATGCTCAGGCCCTCTCTCCCGCCTAGGCCCTCCCCATCTGTCAGACCTCCTTATGGGACCCCCCCCATCCTGATCATCTCCTCCCAGACCAGACCCTCCCCCTCTTCATAGGTGCCCCATCCTGGCTATTCCTCCCCCATGGGTCCCCTCCCCCTCAGTTCAGCCACGCTTTGGAATGCTCCCCTTGACCATCTTTATTCCCACGGGGCCACCCTGCTCTGGGCTTCTCCTCCATGCCCCCCCCCCCACTTAGACCCTCCCAGCCCCCCCTGATGCATCTCCATGCTTGCAGCAAGAGGGTTTCCAAGACGGAGGAAAGAGGAGCCTCCCCATCTTCATCCCAAGGAGCAATGAGACCAGCGACAGTGCCGTCCTGCTGGTAAGGAGACAGGTGGACACGGGCAGGAGACACCCGGGGACTTGGCGGGGACAAGGCTGGGCCCCCCAGTAGGATTGAGATCTTCCAGCCCAATGCTGGGTCATTGGCCTCAGGGTCGCACTGGGGAACTGCCAGCCTGAGCTTTTTCTGCCTGAGTTGAGGGATCCTGCTGCATCAACTGAGACCGTAGCCAACCCAGCCCTCACTAAAGGGGACAGCGCCCTGCAGCGGGTGACATGTCCCTTCTCCTGGGCCAGCCTGGCTGCCGGACTCCTGCCCTCCCCTCCCAGCCTACACCTCTCTCCAAGGGAACTAGGGACAGACACCCAGGGGCAGGGTTGGGCAAGATACATCTCGCGGGTCAGATTTGTCCTGCAAAGCCACTAGATCCGGCCCATGGAGCCCCCTGCTGGGACCCTCAGGCACACAGGGCTTTAAGCTCCGGGCTGCTCCCTGTGCCTCTCTGCTCGGGAGGGAGGGGGAGGCTTCCGGTGATCTCCCTGCCCCAGCCCAATCCTCAGCTCCTATTGTCTGGAAACAACCGGCCAATAGGAACTGACCCCAGCCCAATCCTCAGCTCTTATTGGCTGGGAAAAGCCTGGGGGGGAGCAGCGCAAGCCTCTTCCCCCACTCCTGCAGTTGAGAGCCACATGGAGGGAGCTGCCTGCATGTTCAAGTGGTCTTGGGCTGCAGCAGACAGGGAGCCCAGCCTGCTTTGGGGGTGCTGCAGGCTGGGAGCTGCTTAGGTAAGCGCCTCCCAGCCAGAGCCTGCCTCTGGCACCCCTGCTCCTCCTGTCCCCAAACTCCCTCCCCAGGACACCATCCAAACCCTCTCCATCTCCCTGCTCCAGGTCACAACTCCCTCCCAGAGCCTGTACCCCCTCCGACATCCTTCCCCCAGGCCAGAATCCTCTCCTGCATCCATACCCCCTCCCAGACCCTGCACCCCATTCCCCTTCCTTCTCCCAAACTCCCTCTCAGACCTCAAACTGTCTCCTGCACCCCAGCCCCTCACCCCATGCACGCTTTGGCACCATCCTAGACCCCACACCTCCTCCCCAGAAGAGCGCGGCCCTTGACCACTATCCAAAACCTTGGAGTGGCCCCCCCACCAAAAATTATTGCCCACCCCTGCCCTGATTCTCTCACTGGCTCTGCCTCATATTGGCTCCCACCATGGGGGAATTGGTTAGGCCCTCACCATCCTCCTGCTTGGAAGGGCAGATTGCCTCAGTCCCTGTTTCACTGGGAGGTTGGGGAGGCGCAAGGGGCAGGGGGGTTGAGGAGGTGCTGAAAGACTAAAGACTTGTTACAGCTAAGAAAGCCCCACTTCCCAACCCCATCAACAGAGGGGGAAACTGAGGCACAGAGAGGGATATGGCCATTCCTGAGGCTGTGTGGTGAGCTTGGAACTCAGGCGTCCTCGCTTACAGGCCTAACATTAGACAGCCAGTAACTAACCACATAGCAGGAGCGAGACTCCCTGTGGTAGCTAGGGCCCGTCAGCGCTCTGCAATGCTAGGGGCTGTATAAAGCAAAGAGCAGGCCTGGAGGTTGAGCCCTTCTTGGAGCCCTGTGGACAAGGGTGGGAGGAGCGCTGCAAGCCCTGACCCGTCTCCTCTCCCACGCCCCAGGACACGATCAGCACACATCTGTGCCAGTACCATGGCTGCTTGGGGCACCTGGTGAACAGCTCCTGGTGGAACAAGCAGTCGACGCAGACGACACTCATCACCAGCAAAATGAGCATCTGCCAGCACGAGCTTTCCAAACTCAGAAACACCATCCACAAGATGAAGGTAAATGAGACCCTGTCCCCTGCCCTGCAGTGCTGTCTCCTGCAGATAAACCACGGGAGAAACCATTGCTGCCGTCAGCTGTGGGGGAGGCCGAGCTGACATGTTGCTGCATATAGTTTAGTCTGCCTGTAGCAATCACTGAGGATTGGTATGGAGAGCGGATGAGGCTGTAGGCTGGGATCCGGGAGACAGTGGTTCAATTTTTTTCTCTCCCCGTGTGACGTTAATCTGAGGGCTGGATTAATACAGCTCTGAATCCCCCTCTCTCCCTGTGATGAGGTGGGGGAGTCTCCCGGAATTAGCTCAGCCAATGGGGTCGCTCTCCTTGGGAGATGCGGAATATGGGCAAAAATAGTCTTTGATGACATCATCGAAGCCTGTATCCTGATGCACGTGGCCAAGGGAACTGGATTAAAGTTGCGGGAGGAGGGGGGAGCTTTAATTCTGTTATTTCCTCACTGTTGAACAATTGGCTTTGTGACCTGTTTTTGCTGTAATTTTCTCTAATCTTTAAAAAATACTGAGGCGGGGGGAGGGAAACAGATCTCCCCCAGTGGAACCATGTTGACCTGAGCCTTGGTCATCAGCAGGGCAGGGAACATTTAGAGCCACCTTACATTGCTCTGCCTCTCATGGGTCGTGGGTGAAGGTAGGGCTGGGGGAGGCAAGACCCCTTACCCTCTCTGCTATTGGGTGGCAGCAGAGAAATGGTGAGACTCAGGATAACGATGTCCCATTGTAGGCTCTGGAGTGTGACCTAGCTGTCATGGATGCTACGGCCCTGTCCCCCTCTCCACTCTCTGACTCCTGCAACTCCTTCTCCCTGTCCACCCCCCAGACTGCTTCTGCTTCCCCCTCCATGAGATATGGGACCCCCTACAGGGGAACACTGGGAGAACAGGAGAGACAGAACCCCTTCTGCCCTGGCCTGGCTGGAGCATGCTCAGTGCAGACAGAATCGCTGGAGATTTTAGCTGCCTAACTCTAACAATCCTACTGCGCAAGAGCAAGGTGTATAAGTAGGTCAAATTTAAGGTCAATTTTCATAGACACAAATGTCAGCCCTCTTGCAAGTGTTGCTCTCACAACTAGGCCACACAACCCTCGTAGAGTCAAGACCTGAACCTAAGAGTCAAGATCACCTAATGTTCTTCCTCTATGTGACCCACCAGGAAGGTCATTCTGTAAAGAGAACAGTGAAAATATCAGATTTTTCAGTTCATTGGCTGCTCTGAAAAGTAAAGGGAAAAAATCCGTGTCAGGTTGGTCCCAAACGAAAGATTTCTGAATGTTGTGTTGGACTAAAATATGTTTTGTTTTGGGTGGATCATATGTTTCCTTATGACGATGTTGTAAAACTTTGTGTGGTTTTGACCATTTTCACGTTTTCGTACAGTTGCAAAATAAAATGCAAGAGCACTTTTTAATGGAAAGTCTTTTTAAACTGAAAAATCAAATCATTTTGTGTTTGAGCCGGGAGGTTTTCTTTCCCTCCCTAAATGAACAATTTGGTGGAAGCAACATAGATTCTCGAAATATTTCTGGCTCTCAGAATCTGCATTTTTCTCCGGATGAAGAAAACATTGACAGAAAAGTAACACTTAGCTCCAATCATGCCCCAGAGAAGTTAGCTTCCTCTTATTGCTGTAGCACATGAAAAAGGGCCCTCTGGTGGAGTTCTAAAGACCACAGGTTCAAATCCCTGTGCTGGGAGCTTTTGTAGGCTTTTCTGTTAATCTCTTCTGGAGTGCTGTGAGCAAGACATGAGAAATCATTCTTCCCTTTACTCTGTGCCGATTAGGCCTTAACTGGAGTATTGTGTCCTGTTCTGGGCAATTTATTCCAGTGCTTAACCACCCTGACAGGTAAGTTTTCCTAATGTCCAACTTAAACCTCCCTTACCCATGTTTCAAGAAAGATCTGGAGAAGGTCCAGAGAAGAGCCACAAAAATAGTTGAAGGTCTACAAAACATGAGCTATGAGAGAAGGCTGAAAGAATTGCGTTTGTTTAGCTTGGAAAAGAGAAGACTGAGAGGGGACATGGTAGCAGGTTTCAAGTACCATAAAGGGTGTTACAAGGAGGAGGGAGAAAAATTGTTCTCCTTAACCTTTGACGATAGGACAAGACGCAATGGGCTTAAACTGCAGCAAGGGAGGTTTAGGTTGGACATTAGGAAAAAATTCCTGCCTGTCAGGGTGGATAAACACTGGAATAAATTGCCTACGGAGATTATGGAATCTCAATCGCTGAAGATATTTAATAGCAGGCTAGACAGACATCTGTCATGGATGATCTAGACTAGCAGGTGCTTGGTCCTGCTGTGAGGGCAGGGGACTGGACTCGATGACCTCTCGAGGTCCCTTCCAGTTCTGAGTTTATGATTCCAGGAGTCTTTCCCCTATTTATAATCCTGCTTTGTTTCCTTTGTGGGACACAGGCATGCCCTTTGCAAGTAGCTTGATGACTGGGGGGGAATGGAGTGATCTGTCAGGCATAGGGGGTGACCGGCAGTAAAACCCAAGTGTTCTGTAGGTTGCTAGCTTTTGGCAGGGTGACCTTCTGACGTTACCTTCTCCCTCTCTCTTTGCTCTTCCCAGCAGCGACCAGCAGCACGGTCCCCGTCCCCCTGTGAAGTAGCCTGTCCCTTTGCCGGCACCGGATGGAAGGAGATCGCTGCCGGGCCCCAGCTCTCTAAGGAGCTTCTTGAGTACTTGAAGGAGCTGCAGTCCCCCTGTGGCTGAAGACAGTCTGTGTGTGTGTGTGTGTGTGTGTGTGTGTGTGTGTGTGTGTGTGTGTGTGTGTGTATATATATATAGAGTGGTGTGTTTGTGCAAAGCTCTGTGTGTGGGTGCACAAGAAGAACAGTTATGAGACCATGGCTTGGATTTTCCAACATATGCTACTGATGTCTCCTGCGTCCCTTGGTGTGCTGCTAATACCTTTGCTGTTAATAATTATATTTAATAACTATTGTCTCTCTCAACTTCCCCCAGAGGCCGCACTAGGTGGCAAGTATATTTTTAAATAAAACACACGCCTTTTCTATTCCTGTGACTTTTGTGTAGCGTTAGCTCCTCCCCCCCGTTGGCTCATTTGCATGCAACATGTCGATTGGCTGGATTGATTGATATCCCACAGAGGACTATGCTTAGCCCCCACCCCTGCTTCTGAGTAAGGCCGGGCTGATGTGGGGGACACACCAGCTGTCAGGTGACTATTGGGTGTGGACTATGGAGGGTTGGGTGGGGCCCATGGGATAGGTGCTAAATGCCCTAGTGCAGGGGTCACCAACACCCTTGACCCACCTCCGATGTGCCCCTTCTCCGAGGTCCTGCTCCTGCTCACTCCGTCCGCTCCCCAGTCTCCCTTTACATCAAGCAAGCGCAGTGGGTTGGGGCGTAGGCTCTGGTCTTGGGCTCAGGGATTTGGAGCGTGGGAGGGGCCCTGAGCTGAGCCTGGGGCAGGGAGTTGGGGTGTAGGAAGGGGTTCAGGGGACAGGCTCTGTAAGGGAGTTTGGGACCAAGGGGCTTGGGATGTAGGAGGGGGTTCTTAACTGGGACAGGAGTTCAGGATTCTGGCTGCAACTGGACACTGCTTATCACAGGTGGCTCCTGGGTGGTGGTGACCAAGGGGCTTGGGATGTAGGAGGGGGTTCTTAACTGGGACAGGAGTTCAGGATTCTGGCTGCAACTGGACACTGCTTATCACAGGTGGCTCCTGGGTGGTGGTGCAGTGGGGCTAAGGTGGGCTCAGCCTTGCACTACTCTCTAAGGCAGCCAGCAAACTCCATCCCAAGTCCTGTTGTACCCTCCTCTCCCCCAGTCCGTTCTGTGGAGATAAAACACAGGGTGGGAGGGGGCACCCTGACATCAGTGTCCCCTCCTCTCCTTTCCCTGCCCTGTACAGTAAGCAGGAGGCTAATGCAGGGGGTGGGGAGCAGGGCAGCTCAAAGGGAAGGAGAGGCACAGCCGTGGTGGGGAGGGGCAGCGGAAGTGCGAGTGTCTTGGCCAAACCAGTCAGGATCCCCTGTCAGAGGCTCCATGATCTACCAGTAGATCCCGATCGACTGGTTGGTGACCCCTGCCCTAGTGAGAAGAGGGATGGAGCAGGGTGGGAGGGCAGTGCGGGGAGAGGGGATCTGCTGCCATTACAAGGTATCTTAGTTATAAGCATGTAGAAGGTCATTCCAGCCTAGGAAATCCACCAGTCGAACCCTTCCAGGGGAACAGGGGTAACCACATCTAGGTAAAGATCCCCCACAGCGTTATTCATCCTTGCGTCACCTTAATTGCCCAGCGAGGTAATCGGATCAGTGGGCTTACCCCCACCCCTGCCCTTCTCTACCATTTACCCTAACGCGGCCTGGCTGGCTGCAGGCGGGAGAAGAAGAGACCAGGACCCCGATGTGTTCAGACTTTATTTACTGTTGCAAGACATGGCAGGTGCTGGGAGAGGGGCAGAGTCAAGGGGATTCATGGAAGGGACCCCCAACCGGTCAGCTCTTCCCGGTACCTTTCAGAAGGTCTGTGTCCGTGATGGGTGGGATGGTCACAGGCTACAGCCAGAAAAGTCTGTCTGGGGATATAGAGGGCAAGAGGAGAAGAGAAAGGGAGGTAGAAGAAAAATCCAGCTTCTAAAAGAATTGGAGGAAAGGGAGGGGGAGCAGACTGTGGCAATGAAGGGGAGGAGGCCTGGGAGCGAGCTAGACAGCGGCTACGTACTGGGGATACTGAGAGATAATAATCATCCCGGACTCATCGACAGATCTCCAAGTGCTTTACCAAGTAGGTCAGGGCCATGCACTCTCCCCACCAAAGCGTCAGAGCCAAGTGGCGCTCTGTGGGCCGGTACCTGGGGCGCCGGGCGCGGAGGGGGTTGGGTCACACTCTGCTGGGGTCGCTGACGTGGCCCATGAAGACAGGGAAGCTGTGCTCGTCGTTCCACAGCACGAAGAGGAAGGGCTGCTGCACCTCAAAGACCCAGGCGGTGCGGGCCACCGAGATGGCCGTGGCGGCAGCGGCCTCCACCCCTTCCTCGTTCAGCTCCAGCACGGCCCGGTGCTGGGCGTTTGTCACCGCCAGATCCTCTGCCTCTGAGATGCCGCACAGGTTGGCATCGAAGAAAATGCCGTAGTCTGGAGAAGGGACAGAGCAGGGAGGAGGTAGTAGCCACCCTCTTGTGCTCAAAAGGCTGCCCCAATCCTGGAGACCCCCAGGTAGACACCCTGGGCCAGAGATCAGCCAAGGAGATGGGCCACTCGGAGCCAGGGGAGCCCATGATATTCCCACTGGTCTGGTGGGACCAATGGACACGGTACTGATCAGCTGTCGGAACAGGCTACTCAGAACCAAAAGGCCTGATGGCTGCAAGACACTGGCGTGATGGCTCAGCCACGGAGACAGGTCACTCGGAACGAGTCGTCCATGCTCCATCCAGCGGTCTCACGTGTCCAGCAGACATGGGATAGACCCGTGGTGTCTACCACACGAGTCACTTGCCATATGGGGCTGTTTGGCCGGTTGGATGTGGCTGGTTTGCCATAGCAGTAGCTGCTATAGTGGCTATTGCTTCAGAACTGGTTGGACATTATGGGGATAGACCAGTAAGGAAACGGGTCACTCCGAACCAGGAGGCTGCATTCCCCTCCAGGAAGTGATGTCACAACCCAACACCCCTGCCCTGATGGTGTATCCACTGGTTTCTTAGACCCAATAGACACCAGTGTGAGGGATCGGCCATGAAAATAGGTCTTGATGCTGCCCCTCAGATCCCTCAGGAAATGACATCATTGCTCATCCATTCCTCTTCAGGAAGTGAGGTCACAACCCAACACCGCTGCTCTGACTCCCTTCTTGTCCAGAGGGGGAGCGGGCTCTCTTGCCTCTCCCCCCACACCCCTTCCCCATGGGCCCCCCATCTGCCACTCGCCCAGCTCCATCCTTACCTATCTGCCCCAGGATGTCCATGAGGTCCTGGGAGCTGTCCAGCTTGAATCTGGGCAGGCTCACCACGGTGGGCTTTAAGGGGGAGTCCATCAGCTTCTTCACCACCGCAGTGAAGGTCTCTCTGGTCAGCATCTTCTCCATCTCGGCGAGCGAATTGAAGGAGTGCTCAGGCACCATGACCACCAGGCTCATGCTGTGGGACAGCCTCAGCCGGCCAACCTTGGGAGAGGACAACACAAAGTCCTCTCTGTGCTGCGGGCTTGCCTGAGCCCGGATTGAATGCCCCTTCTCCCATCTATCCCTTTGGGCACCCTTGCCCCATCCCCCTGTTCTTGGCATCCTTTCATGGAGGCCTCCAAGCCACCCATGGGCGTGAACCCTCATTGTGCCACTGTCTGTGGTTTTGGACAGCCAGGGAGCAGGCTGAGGGTTGCCAGGTGCCTGGTTTTCAACCGAACTCCCAGTTGAAGAGGGATATTGGTGGCTCCGTCTGGCACCACTGACCAAGCTGTTAGGAGACGAGTGCAAAGGCAGCCTCCCTCCTAACCCTGGCTCCAGAAGCAGCCCCCACTGCCTGAGGCCCCTAAGCTGACTGTTTCTGCCTGAGTGCCGCATTCTCAGATCCCATTGGCTGGGAACCACGACCAATGGGAACTGCAGAGGTGATACCTGCAAGCATGAGAAGCACCCGGAGCCTCCCTACACTTTGGGGGGGGGGGGAGGCTGCAGGGACCAGGGAGCTTCCTGGGAACAGCAATAAGTGCCACCAGGACCAGCCCCCCAGCTACTGCCCCCGCCAAAACCCCTCCCAGAGCTCACCCCCGCCCACCTGCCTGCCACAGCCCAGAGCCCCATCCTGCATCCCAAACACCTGGCCTCATCCCTGGCCTCACCCCCTGGCCACATCCTGAACCCCTGCCCCAGCAAAGAGTCTCCTCCTGCACCCTGAACCCCCTTATCCCCACCCCCACTCCAGAGCCCACACCCCAAGCCAAAGCCCTCACCCTGCCCCCCAACCCCCTACCATAGCCTGGAGCCCTCTCCTACCCCCTGAACTCTTCATTTCCAGCCCCCATGGAGCCTGCACCCTCCCGCCCCACACCCCGATTCCCTGCGCCAGCCTGGAGATGGTGAGTGGGGAAGAGTGAGCAACAGAGGGAGGGGGGAGGCAGTAAGCGGGGGCGAGGCCTCAGAGAAGGGGCGGGGCTTGGGGAAGGGGCAGGGCTTGGGGGAAGGGGTGTTCGGTGTTGGCGAATAGGAAGTTGGCATCCCTAATCAGGCCTCTTGTGCCCATCTCTGCCCTGCTTCACCAGATGCAGCCCCTGTGAGCTAGGGAATGGGCCACCCTTTTCCTTCCTTTCCCACTCTTCATCCCGCCCTGCTCCATGCCTGGCACAGGCCCGCCGAAAGGGAGGGGCAAAGGCAGAAATTGCCCTAGGGCCCAGTGTTGGCGAATAGGAAGTTGGCATCCCTAATCAGGCCTCTTGTGCCCATCTCTGCCCTGCTTCACCAGATGCAGCCCCTGTGAGCTAGGGAATGGGCCACCCTTTTCCTTCCTTTCCCACTCTTCATCCCGCCCTGCTCCATGCCTGGCACAGGCCCGCCGAAAGGGAGGGGCAAAGGCAGAAATTGCCCTAGGGCCCAGAGATTCAAAGAGGCCTAGAACTCCTGGCCTCTTTGAATTGCCATGGGAGCCCCACTTTGTACAGCTCTGAAGGCTGCGTGCACACCGCTGTCTAGGCAGTGCTAAGGGCTGGCTGCCCTCAACCCTGCCCCTTCCACCTAAAGTCCTGCCCCTTCTGGGGAGACAGAGCCAGGCCTCCCACCCACCTTGCCCTGAGGCCCATGGTGGCTGTTGGCAAAACATTGTTTTCCAAAGTCTGCCGGCATTTTTCAAGCATGTTTCCTCCAAAACTTCCTGCCGGACATCTTTTGGAACAATAGAGTGGAAAGGAACCTTTCCCAGTAAACGGTTTCACGTTTCAAAAGCCAAAGGGTTTCCCACTAACTGATTTTTTTTAAAACTGAAAGACAATTTTTTTTTGCCAAAATCAATTAAAAATGTGTTTAAAACAGAAAAAAATCCACTTTTTAAAACGTAAAACTGGTTTGGTTGTTTGTTTTTTTAACCAAAACCGGTTTTACTTGAACCAAAAAACAGATTTATTTCTTACTGAAATATTTTTCCCTAAAAAACAACTTCTTTTCTTTTTCTACTGGAAAACTGATTTTAAACAAAAGCACTTAAGAGTATTTTTCTTACCAAAAACATGTTTACTTTCTACCCCAAAACCAATTATTTTCTTTCTTAATGAAAAACAATTAAAAAAAAAAGTCTTTCCAGAAACCGATTTTCCTTCTAAACAAAATCCAATTGTTTTTAGAGTATTATACTCAATTTTTTTTCCAGCTGAAAACTGGTTTGCTTTTAACAACAGTAAAAAAACCCCACTCTGAACTGCTGAAAAAAAAAATTGTTACTTTCTCTTTTATAAAAGTCAAGGCCAAACAAACAAACCACACCTCCCGCCCGCAGCAAAATCTCTGAGAAATATATTGCCTAAAATCATGAGGGAAACACATCTTTTTCGACATTTCTCACCAAAATATCTTGGTGTTTTGGGACTAGGCCAGTGCCGGATTTCTACACAAACGAAGTAAGATGCAACCCTAGGACAGCTTAGGTCCTAGGGTTGCCAGGTGTCCAGTATTGAACCGGACAGCCCAGTATTTGCGCCTTCTGTCCAGTAAAAATTATTTTCTATTTTTTCCCCGAGGCCCAATGGAAGGCCACTTGGGACATGTAGCACAGCTTGCGCTGGCTAGGGCGGGGGAGGGAGCGGGGAGTAGCCTGGGATTTTTTTTTTTTTGCTCAACAACTTTTCCTGTGGCCTTTTTTTTTTTCCTCAACAAAATTTTTCCTTGCATTTTTTTGGGGAGAGTGAGGGGTCGGTATTTTTTGTTAAACCATCTGGCAACCCTATTAGGGCCTCCGATTATGATGAGCCTCTAAATTAGAAAAGAAATACTAGTTTTTAGTTGCCTCCTCACCTAGATGCCTGTATATATGCAAATATGAAGCTTTAGTATTTCGGAGTGGGTTGTCCTTTCTGTTGGAACAATACCCGTGTTTTAGTAATGCTACAGGGGCCTTTTAAACTTGACATCGCTCAGAGCCGCAGCCTGTCTGAAGCCGGCCTGGGACCAGCTCAGCAATTAACGCTGGAGACAACAAGGACTTGCGGTTGTCATATTGGCCACTGTCCTTAGGGTCTTACCCCAGCCCCCATACCGGGCGCCTTCCATGCAGAACTAGTGCTCTGCTGGAGAAAACACTCCCCAGGCAATGACTCAACCTGGCCACAGTGGAGCCAGGGTTCTTGGCGATTTTGAGTTGAGATGCCCAGGCCTCACCCGCACCTTGGGCCTGCTATTCTGAGATGCTGGCTTCACTCCATTGAGATGCAGGGGAGAGAGGATGGCTAGTGGGGGGAGGCCCAGCTGCGGAGGCCAGCCGAAGCTCCGCCCCTTCTGCCTTAAGCCACACCCCTTCCCCAAGACCATGCCCCTTCACAACCTTCCCCTCCCCCCCGCCCCAGCAAAGCCCCTCCCAACCCCAGCTCAACAACTTTTTTATTGCCCGGGGGGGAGGGGGGGGAGGCTGGGGCTGCAGCCCTAGCCCCTCCCAGGCGGCTGGGTAGCATAGGCAGCTGCGGGAAAGCAATGCCTTCCCTTGTCTACATCACCCGCCGCACCTGGGAGGGAGGGAGGGAAGCAGGGGACATGTGGGGTGGGGAGGGGAGTGTGGGAAGGGGGGGGCGCAGGGCACGGTGCTAAGTGCCATTATGGAGGAGGTGGGAGGGAGAGGACAAGGAGAAAGGGGAGAGGAGGAGGGAAAATGGAGCTGCTCTTGGAGCAAAGCAGGGGCCCAGAGCGGAGAGGTGTGGCACAGAGCACCCGCGGGAGGGAGGTTACCTTGGCCTTCAGGCTGGGGTCACTGAAGGAGGCCAGCGGGTACTTCTTGCTGGTCATCATGGGCACCTGGACTGGGCTCTTGCCCGGGCGGTAGAACATCTCGTTCATTGTGTTCTTCACTTTAAAGGTGGTCTTCCACTTGGCTGGAGGGTGAGAGGGCAGGGAGAGGGAGCCGGGAGGCGTCCGCTGTGCAGGTGTGTCAAAGGGGGGGTATCCCAGAGGAGTCCTGGGCGGGAGGCTTGGGGGGGGATGGGCGGCCGAGGAGTCCCCAGGGGCAGGAAGGTTAAGGTGGGCTCCTTGGGGGCTCAGATACCTTGAGAGGGAGGTCCCAAAGGGACAGGGGGGCTCTGTCAGGGAGCAGAGGGAATGTGTCCCTCGATGCGTGTGTATGGGGGCGGGAGGGCCCAAGGAACCCAAGTTTCTGGAGAGGGTATGGAGGGCAGGGGAGCGGGTCCTGGGCACGGCGCGGCGCAATGCGCCCTCCCTTACCTTGGAAATAGATAGCGTTGATCAGCATCAGCTGGACATCAGGTTCCAGCTCCTTCAGCAGCTCCTCGATCTTGCCATTGGTCCCGTCCTTCACCCACTTGTTGACTTTCCGCAGATCCTGGGTCTCGTTGCCAGTGAGCCACTGGGCCTCGATGTTGTAGAAGCTCTTCAGCTGCTTGCGGAAGGCATCGTTCAGGGACAGGTCTGCAGGACAGGAAGGCAAGGGGAGGAGAAAACCACTGCCACCGCGGCCCTGTGAAGCCCTCAAACCCCCCTCAATCACCTGGGCAATGCAAACCTCACCTCCCTCCTACCCCCTCACCCCGCCAGGAACCCGCTTCCTGACCGCAGGACATTAGAACCCCTCGCCCTGTCCCGTGCCTCAGTTTCCCCATCCGTAAATCCCGCCTCCTCCTGAGCAGCATTGGATGGTGGGGCCTTGCAGGGGAAACCATGAGCAGATAATGTGGGTATTGACACTATCGCAGCATGTACTGCAGTGGTGGGTCTGTCAGGAGGGGCAAGGGAGTGGAGGATGTGGGACAGAGGGAGCGTATCCTTAGAGACTCAGATATTGTGCTGGGGGGGGGGAGGGGGAGGCCCCGGGTATCTCGAGGGAATGTAGGGGGTAGTTTCAAAGAGCCCTCAAGCTAATCCCTGCTGCCATTTGTAACAGCTCCTCCCCGAAAGAAGCGGCATCACAAAACTAACAGCAACGCAGCATGTCTCCAAAGCCTGAACACTTGCTCGCGTGCTTAAAAAATAAGCTTGTACAGTTTGGTGCAACAGCGCCCCCTGAGGCCCCCTGCCAGGACCATACCTCCTTCCCTGAACTCTTGCGTGTGGCAGAGGAGAGCCCTGGCGTTTCCATGCTGGCCTGAGTGCCCGCGGGAAGCCCCACCGCCCACTCACCTTGGCGGAAGAAAAGCAACGAGGTGGAGACAAAGGCCTGGGATTTGAGGAGGTGCCGCAGCGGCGCGTGGACGCAGAGGAGGTCGGAGGGATAGGAGAGGATGGTCTCTAGCCTCATTTTGGTCTCATCCCGGGCCCCTGCATGGGAAAGACAAGGACACAGGTGGGCGGGGGAGGTTTGGGAGGGCTGGGAACAGGGGCAAGGGCCTCGCCTGCCGGGGGTCTGGCCTGGTAGAATGGTTGTGTGGGGAGCATGAGGAGCTGGGCTGGGGACTCATCCTCCTGCAGTTGCCTGGGCTGGGGTTTCCTTGCTTAGCCAGGCCTCCCTTTCTCATCAAGGGCTGCCAGGACCATTGGGAACAGCCCATCCCAGCCACCCTGCAGGGGTGCCCTGGCCCATGGGAGAAGAGTCTCAGGGCTCCCCCCCCCGGGGAGGCAGAACTTGCCATGGCCTCTCCATATGGGGGTGAGTAGGGGAGGAATGGTGGCAGAGGGGTGAGCGAAGGGGTGTGTGTGATGGGGGTTTGTGAGCGATGGCTGCGTTTGTGAGGCTGAGCGTGTGCGATAGTTGTGCAACAGGCTGTGTGTGGGTGCGGTGGGTTTGTGTGCGCAGTGGTTGCATGGGTAGGTGCCAGGTGGCTGTGCGTGGGCTTGTGTAATGGCGGTGTGTGGATGTGTGCACATTCACGGTGGTTGTGCGTGGGTGGAGTGGCTGTGTTGGTGCATGCAATGGCTGTGCACACGCTAGGTGTGTGTTTAATCGCTGTGCGCACGCAGGGGGGGCATGTACACACAAGGGTGGTGCATGTCTGTGCATGCCTGTGGATGTTTATGCTTGTCATGTGTGGGTGTACGTGTCTGATGGCTGTATGCTCAATGATGGCTGTATGCTCAATGACTGTCTGTCAGTTGGTTGGGTGAGTGACGGTTCTCTGGGTCTGCGTGAGGGGTGTCTGACAGCTGGGTGTGTATGCAATGGCTGTGAGTGCGATGTGTGTATGGCTGTGGGTGATAGGTGAGTTAGTGCACGATGCGGGTGTGTGACAGCTGTGTGTGCTCACAAGGTGGGTGTTTGTGTGTAATGGTTTTGTATGTTTGAAGAATGAGCATGTGCGATGGGTGTGTGCACATGATGGGTGTATGGAGGCTCTTTTTGAGCATGTGTAATGGGTGTGCATGTGTGATGGGCATGGGTATGACTTTTGTGTGCACTGTGTGTGGCAGAAGTGTGTGCACTCTAGGTGGGTGGGTGCGGGGTTGTGTGTCTGAAGGGGTTGTTTGTGTGATGGGTGGACATGTGTGGATGTGATGGCTTTGTATATGTGTGATGCGTGTAAGTGTGATGGTTGCATGTGAATGCTGAGTTCCGGTATGATGGTTATGTAGGTGGGTGTGTACATGATAGGTAAGTATGTGATGGCTGTGTGGATGTGTAATGGTTGTATGCATGACAGGTGTGTGTGTGTGTGTGTGTGTGTGTGTGAGAGAGAGCGCGCGCTGTGGGTCTTCACAATGAGTATATATGTGATGGGGTATGTGCATGATAGTTGGGGGTTTGTGTGCGATAGGTGCATTCGTGACGGAGTGTGTGTGCAATGGCTGTGGGTCTGCGCGATGGGTATGTGTCATGGGATGTGTATAGGTATGCATGATGGGTGTATGTGTGACGGGTGTGTGCATAACAGCTGTGGATCTGTGCGATGGGTGTATGGGTGACGGTGTATGTGTGATGGATGCAGTTCTACTCAATGGGTGTATGTGTGACAGATGCGTGCATGACGGCTGTGGATCTGCGCGATGGGTGTATGTGTGACGGATGCGTGCGTGACAGCTGTGGATCTGCGCGATGGGTGTATGTGTGACATAGATATGTGAGCTAGCTGCACCCGTGTTTGCGCTGACTGTGCGTGCACTGCCCTTACCCAGCAAGAGCTGAGAAAGCACCACGGCCACGCTGAGAGGCGAGAAGACCACGTTGGAGTCGGTGCCGTGTGTCTTGGCCACTTTCGAATAGTACTTCAGTGCAAAATCAGTCAGCGCCATTGCCACCCTGTGGCTCTCCTCCTTGGAGTCGTTCCTACAGCTGCCCCAGGGGTCACTGGGTGGGCACCGCTGGGGCACTGTGACGGACACAGTAGGGGTTTCAGTGGAGGGTGCTGTAGTGGGCTTGTTGGTTGGTTCACTGGTTGGCTTGCTGGTTGGCTCGCTAGTGGGCTCGTTGGTTGGCTTGTTGGTTGGCTCATTGGTTGGCTCGTTGGCTGCCTCATTGGCTGGCTTACTAGCTGGCTCATTGGTTGGCTTGTTGGCAGGCTCGTTGGCTGCCTTGTTGGCTGGCTGGCTGGCTGGCTCATT